TAAAGCTAATTGGCCTGTACAAAAGGTGTATATTGCTCCTGTTGAAATTACTGTGACCACCGCTCCAATAGTTTGTCCTCCCTTAGCCATTGATACAAATAGGTATTCTTCTTTACCCAAACTAATCAATGTAACTAAGTTGGTGTTTAAATTTCTAAACAAGATGAATATATAGAAGTTTTCACATCCTCTTGAATATTGGATAAAGAGGGTACAGGAGGAAATCTATGGAAATGAGATTAAATTGATGATGGAAAGAAAAATTGTGAAAGGTTCTGTAATAGAGAAATTGGGGCTGTATTTAGAGAACAATGTAATTAGGTGCAGAGGTAGGTTACAAAATGCTGAATTGGGTGATTATGCTAAACACCCTATCTTACTGCCCAAAACTCATCATCTAACAAATTTGATTGTTCTAAATGCCCATAAAAATGTAATGCATGGTGGGGTACAAGATACCTTAAATTGTATTAGGGGAAACTTTCTGGATTCCACAAGGACGGCAAAGTGTAAAAAGGGTGATTAAATCTTGTGTAATATGTCACCGTGTGGATGCCAGATCCTATATGTACCCAGGTCCTCCACCATTGCCAAAGGAGCATGTACAATTATGAAACCATTTGATGTAACAGGTGTAGACTATAGTGGTCCAATAATTTTAACAGTACGTCAAATGGTGTTCCACTGAAAGTGTATGTTTGTTTGTTCACCTGTACTGCTACTAGGGCAGTTCATTTAGAAGTGGCACAGGACTTGTCTGCAGAACAGTTTATACAGCTGTTTCGAAAATTTGCACCTAGGAGATCCTGTCCGAGGTTGATGATTTCGGATAATGCCACAAATTTTGTAGCAGGTGCACAACACTTGATAGAATTAAATAATAGTAACGATGTTCAATCCCTGTTAACCCAGCGAGGGTGTACCTGGAAATTTATTACTCCTAGAGCCCCTTGGCAGGGGGGGCTGTACGAAAGACTGATAGGCACAGTGAAGAGGTGTCTCCGGAAAGTACTACACCAGACGAGAATCAATTTGGAAGAATTCCGTGCAGTGTTAGTGGAGGCAGAAAATCGTATAAATAATAGGCCTCTCTCATACATGAGTGATACACCTGATGCAGATGTATTAACACCTTCTCACCTAACATGTGGAAGGAAATTGGAAGCTGCCCCTGTCTATAGAGATAATCCGGAAGAAAGTGATGAAGATTACAATGATGCGGCAGTGTTGTGTAATAAATTTAAAATGTTAAATAAAGCAATTGATCATTGGTCTAATGTGTGGCATAAGGAATATCTTCTTACACTACGTAAACACTTTTATGGTGCGACAGAGGCAGTAAATCGACAGACCATTCAACCAGGTGACATTGTGTTAATTGACACTGAACAACATCGAACACTGTGGCCTCTGGGCAAAGTATTGACATTGTACCCAGATGCGCAAGGTATTGTCAGGAATGTCAAAGTGTTGTGTCGTGGCCAGGAAAGTTTACGCACAATTAATAGATTCCCTTGGAATTAGGTGCTCAATCAAACGTAAATGAAAATCTGAGGGAAAATGACACGAATGATATGGAAGATAACGCAGACCAAGTGATGCCGGAAGATGAAATTGTAGAAAGACCTACTAGGAGAACAGCCACTCAAGCCAGAACTGGCTGGAATCATCTCCTAAAGGAAGGAGTAATTTGAATCGTTTAGCAACGAACTCCAGCCGGCTGCAGTGTGGAAAATACTGTATATATTTTCCAGAAATTCAGTATTTATATGTAAATAGAAGGCCATACTGTATTTAATAATATGTATGTCATAGAAAATGGAAAGCCTGCATCTGCACAGACGAGACTCGCCATCTTGGTTTTGAATTTTGTACAAACGTTGGTGCAATGGGGAAGAATTTTTCGTGCTGACACCTCTCAAATAGGAGGCGAAATTGGTGGATATGCATTCCTGCATAACTTGAGATATCAGACGACTGGACAAGACAGCTCCAGGAACCTCAGATAAGCTCTCTAGATTTGTGTGTAATTCTGGCCAGCATTATTTTCATAGATTTAGTTAGAGTGAGGTTTTCTGAGTATGATACACATTAATCTCCAGTCAAATTGGTGAGTGATATTAAGATATAATTTCCTTCTGTTATGTAATTGTGTATATATATAACCATTCTTTAATTTTTAATATACACAGATGACAGCAAGGAAATGAGTGAGCTACTCAAGTCCCAATATGACTCAGTTTTTAGCAAGCCGCTAATCAGACTGAGAGTCAAAGATCAAAATGAACTTTTTATGAGAGAGCCACAGAATTTGGTTAACACAAGCCTATCTGATGTCATCCTGATGCCAAATGACTTCGAAAAGGTGATAAATGACATGCCCATGAACTCTGCTCCAGGGCCAGACTCATGGAACTCCGTGTTCATCAAGAACTGCAAGAAGCCCCTATCATGAGCTTTTACCATCCTATGGGGAGGGAGCATGGACACGGGGGTCATCTCACAGTTACTGAAAACAACAGACATAGCCCCACTCCACAAAGGGGGCAGTAAAGCACCAGCAAAGAACTACAGACCGATAGCACTAACATCCCATATCATAAAAATCTTTGAAAGGGTCCTAAGAAGCAAGATCACCACCCATCTAGAAACCCATCAATTACACAACCCAGGGCAACATGGGTTTAGAACAGGTCGCTCCTGTCTGTCTCAACTATTGAATCACTATGACAAGGTCCAAGATGCACTAGAAGACAAAAAGAATACAGATGTAATATATACAGACTTTGCAAAAGCCTTCGACAAGTGTGACCATGGCGTAATAGTGCACAAAATGCGTGCTAAAGGAATAACGGGAAAAGTCAGTCGATGGATCTATAATTTCCTCACTAACAGAACACAGAGAGCAGTAATCAACATAGTAAAGTCCGAGGCAGCTACGGTGAAAAGCTCTGTTCCACAAGGCACAGTACTCGCTCCCATCGTGTTCCTCATCCTCATATCTGACATAGACAAGGATGTCAGCCACAGCACTGTGTCTTCCTTTGCAGATGACACCCAAATCTGCATGACAGTGACTTCCATTGCAGACACTGCAAGGCTCCAGGCGGACATCAACCAAATCTTTCAGTGGACCGCAGAAAACAATATGAAGTTTAACGATGAGAAATTTCAATTACTCAGATATGGCAAACACGAGGAAATTAAATCTTCATCAGAGTACAAAACAAATTCTGGCCACAAAATAGAGCGAAACACCAACGTCAAAGACCTGGGAGTGATCATGTCGGAGGATCTCACCTTCAAGGACCATAACATTGTATCAATCACATCTGCTAGAAAAATGACGGGATGAATAATGAAAAACCTTCAAAACTAGGGATGCCAAGCCCATGATGACACTCTTCAGGTCACTTGTTCTATCTAGGCTGGAATATTGCTGCACTCTAACAGCACCTTTAAATGGCAGGTGAAATTGCTGACCTAGAAAATTTTACAGAGAACCTTCACGGCACGCATAACGGAGATAAAACACCTCAATTACTGGGAGCGCTTGAGGTTCCTGAACCTGTATTCCCTGGAATGCAGGCGGGAGAGATACATAATTATATACACCTGGAAAATCCTAGAGGGACTAGTACCGAATTTGCACACGAAAATCACTCACTACGAAAGCAAAAGATTTGGCAGACGATGCAAACATCCTCCAATGAAAAGCAGGGTGTCACTAGCATGTTAAGAGACCATACAATAAGTGTCAGGGGCCCGAGACTGTTCAACTGCCTCCCAACATACATAAGGGGGATTACCAACAGACCCCTGGCAGTCTTCAAGCTGGCACTGGACAAGCACCTAAAGTCGGTTCCTGACGAGCCGGGCTGTGGCTCGTACGTTGGTTTGCGTGCAGCCAACAGTAACAGCCTGGTTGATCAGGCTCTGCTCCACCAGGTGGTCTGGTCACAGACCGGGCAGCGGGGGTGTTGACCCTCGGAACTCTCTCCAGGTAAACTCCAGGTAATACAGTCCACATTATTATTATAATCAAGGGGGGAAGCGCTAAACCCAGAGGATTATACAGCGCCTGGGGGGGGGATGTGGAAGGCATTCAGGCTTAATTCGGGGAACTGGAGCACAGATCCAATTCCCTAAATCAAGAGCCCCTCACCAACATCAAGGAACCTTCCTTGAGGGGAATACAGTCCACAAATTTATATATTTACCAGTATTCCTGGTGTATGTATATTTCATTTAATTAAAGGTCCAGAGCAACTTGTGGATATGACAGTGGTAGGTATCGAAGGGGGACATTTATGCGACCTAGGTGTCCCAAATTCCTACTTGTCTATGTAACTCTGATAAATAATAATTATCTTTGTTATCATTTTCTGTTATGTATATAATGAGTTACATTCAGATAAATGCAATTTTCCACAACAATAATGTCATAAATAAGTAATAACTTCTTACGTGTGTCTTGGACCCCACTGGATATTAAGGACCCTAATGGTAATAAGTAAGAACCCAAGTGATAATAAGGCAACTACCCCAGTGGTAATGAGAACGTAAGAACACTGCAGCAGGCCTACTGGCCTATGCAAGGCAGGTCCAAGTCACCTCTTGGCTTAAGCCATTAACTGAACCTAGTCAGGTCAGGGACCACAATGGTAACAAGGACTCCAATGGTAATATGTCAAGGACCACAATAGTAATAAGTAAGGACTCCAATGGAAATAAGTTACATTGACTTTTTTGTGTTATCGTGGTGGGTAATTTACATTATGTATGATAATTGTAATTATGTTTACCTGTACCTCAATAAACTTACTTGGCAGTGATGGAGCTCAATATTTGGACAGTACACATTATTTAATGTTTTGGTTCATGGTATATCATTATAAAGTTTTGGTTAATGAGTCGAGGTTGGGTAATAGTGTGTGAATTAAATATTGAAAAAATGTTCACTCATTGTGCATAATTAACGTTGTCTTTGGTTCCTTCAGACAGCGGATGGATGGAGGAAGGAAGATAGCAAGCATGGCCCTGCCTGATATATGGCAGTTCCTGAGTATCTATATGTCAGAGGATGAAGGTCCCAAGACTGATGCAGCTGAGGGTTCCAAGTTGGACGATCCACTCGATGTCACTGATGACATCGTTGTGGCCATGGATAGACCAACAGGTACTTGCTAATAACATACTCTACTGCCTCTTTTGTATAGAGAAACTATACAGTAGAACCCTTGTATCTGTGGATTCACTTTCCACGGATTCAGGTATCCAAGGTTTACCCTTAATTTCACTTAATTATGACACCAAAGCACAAAAGTAGTGATGGTGGTAGTTCCTCAAAGTCTAAGAGAAGCCGTCAAGTGCTTCCCATCAGTGAAAAAGTGTCGGTTCTTTACTTATTGTGTAAGTTATCAATTAAACTTTATCATGGGTATGTGAAACTCGAAACTCTTCAAATGTATATAGGGTTGGCTACTATCCACAGTTTCGGGCATCCACAGTAGGTCTTGGAATGTATCCCCTGAGGATACCCGGGCACTACTATATTTGTACTTTTTTGAGCACCTCTTGAAATTCACCTAGATCTATAATTAATAATAAGGAAAAAAATATTTTATTTCAGCCTGATAGAATGTTTGTAGAGAGATTGGTGACACTTTGTGTGTGTATGCAGAAACCCAGAGTTATGAAGAATATTTTGGGCTCTTCAAGGTATGCAAAGTGTGTGTGATAGTGGAAAATTGTACATATATAGTGTAAATTTTGCAAATGGTGTTGAACAATTGCATTCAGAACTGAATTTCACATTGATCTAAGTTTTTTTTTCCAAGGTGTATTGAGTGCTCATAATAGTGGCAATTTGCACTTTTTTATACAGTGCAAATTTTGCAAATGCTATTGAAAAATTGCTTGAAATAGAAGTAGTACTCACTACAAAGGTATTTTCGTGCTCTGTTCAATTTTGAATGTACTTTTTTTTAATTGTATTTGCAAAATATTGCAGGATAGTTTTATAATAGAAGTTACTGCAATTTCATAAATCTAGTCCAGGTGCTACTTGTTTGGCTGTGTTGTCTCCGTCTCTCTTGAATTCTAAGGTATTTGTGTTTCTTGAATACAGGAGGTCCCCATGTAGTCATCCTCTTTCCAGTGTTCCACATTTCTGTTGGGTTTCAACTCAGTCATTGTTCACTAGATGTTAACATTGTTAGTGCAGTACCATTACCTTTGATGAGCCATGGCCAGGCTCGTCTGGTACTGGCCTGGTTAACCAGGCTCATCTGGTACTGGCCTGGTCAACCAGGCTCGTCTGGTACTGGCCTGGTCAACCAGGCTCGTCTGGTACTAGCCTGGTCAACCAGGCTCGTCTGGTACTAGCCTGGTCAACCAGGCTCGTCTGGTACTGGCCTGGTCAACCAGGCTCGTCTGGTACTAGCCTGGTCAACCAGGCTCGTCTGGTACTTAGCCTGGTCAACCAGACTCGTCTGGTACTGGCCTGGTCAACCAGGCTCGTCTGGTACTGGCCTGGTCAACCAGGCTCGTCTGGTACTGGCCTGGTCAACCAGGCTCGTCTGGTACTAGCCTGGTCAACCAGGCTCGTCTGGTACTAGCCTGGTCAACCAGGCTCGTCTGGTACTGGCCTGGTCAACCAGGCTCGTCTGGTACTAGCTGGTCAACCAGGCTCGTCTGGTACTAGCCTGGTCAACCAGGCTCGTCTGGTACTGGCCTGGTCAACCAGGCTCGTCTGGTACTAGCCTGGTCAACCAGGCTCGTCTGGTACTAGCCTGGTCAACCAGGCTCGTCTGGTACTAGCCTGGTCAACCAGGCTCGTCTGGTACTGGCCTGGTCAACCAGGCTCGTCTGGTACTAGCCTGGTCAACCAGGCTCGTCTGGTACTAGCCCGGTCAACCAGGCTCGTCTGGTACTGGCCTGGTCAACCAGGCTCGTCTGGTACTAGCCTGGTCAACCAGGCTCGTCTGGTACTAGTCTGGTCAACCAGGCTCGTCTGGTACTAGCCTGGTCAACCAGGTCGTCTGGGTACTAGCCCGGTCAACCAGGCTCGTCTGGTACTGGCCTGGTCAACCAGGCTCGTCTGGTACTAGCCTGGTCAAAACCCGGCTCGTCTGGTACTAGCCTGGTCAACCAGGCTCGTCTGGTACTGGCCTGGTCAACCAGGCTCGTCTGGTACTAGCCCGGTCAACCAGGCTCGTCTGGTACTGGCCTGGTCAACCAGGCTCGTCTGGTACTAGCCCGGTCAACCAGGCTCGTCTGGTACTAGCCTGGTCAACCAGGCTCGTCTGGTACTGGCCTGGTCAACCAGGCTCGTCTGGTACTAGCCTGGTCAACCAGGCTCGTCTGGTACTAGCCTGGTCAACCAGGCTCGTCTGGTACTGCCTGGTCAACCAGGCTCGTCTGGTACTGGCCTGGTCAACCAGGCTCGTCTGGTACTGGCCTGGTCAACCAGGCTCGTCTGGTACTGGCCTGGTCAACCAGGCTCGTCTGGTACTGGCCTGGTCAACCAGTCAGCAGTATTTATGTATTTGTAAATGCAATAGTGCACTAATTTCTTTTAAACACATGGATGAAACGTTTGTCAGGGTTAATGAATATCTTTATTTTGTATGAAACTACAAACACGTGCATCAAATTTATCATTTCCTACAATCTTGTCATTGGTATTAAAATAATCATTTATAGTTTGTGATTATATACAGTAAGTCCCCTTATGAAGCTCCTCTTTACAGTGAGATTCTTTGTATATTTGATTGAAAAAGTTGGTCCAGAATCAATGTTGCATGATAAGTTCTTCATGTTATGTATTATATAGTTGTGGATAAATCTTATAAGAGTTCACTGTGTAACAAGTCTTAATATTAGCGCTTGGGTTGGTTATTTGTGTATTAAACCATACTACAGGCGGGGATAGAACCTGCGATCACACAGTATTAAACCATACTACAGGCGGGGATAGAACCTGCGATCACACAGTATTAAACCATACTACAGGCGGGGATAGAACCTGCGATCACAGAGTCATAAAACTCCATTACGATTTCATGAGTTACTTATGTATTGTTTCGGCTGGATCACTAGTGCACTCAGCTCACACACTGAGGTCCAGGTGTCCTTAAGACACCTACTGTCCATGTTCACCCACCAATAAAATAGGTACCTGGGTGTTAGTCGACTGGTGTGAGTCGCATCCTGGGACAAAATTGACCTAATTTGCAGGAAATGTTCTGCATAAACAAGGGGCTTTCTATATAGTAGTATGCCATTGATGTCAGCTATGGTCTGTATACTTTGTATACCCCCGTAGTACTTGTAGAAATAAAGATTATTATTATTATTAGATACTCCCTGAAGAGACTGTCATACACTTGTTGTTTTGCTGCCCCAGTCACTAATAATAAACTGCCTATAACCTATAACATTACTAGACTGTAACCCAAATTAATTTTTCTAGTTCTTGTACTGAATTAAACTCAAAAAAATTTAATGTCATTTAATGTACAAAATAGTAACCATAATGTCATCTAATGTACAAAATTTATTATTTATATTTTTTTATTAATGCATCGGCCATTTCCCACCAAGTCAGATGACCCAAAAAAAGAAGAAACACCTTCATCATCACTCACTCCATCACTGTCTTGCCAGAGGTTCGTCTACACTACAGTTAAACAACTGCAACATCAACACCTCTTCAGAGTACAGGTACTGTACTTCTCACCTCCAGGACTCAAGTCCAGCTTCCCAATTTTCCTGAATTCCTTCATAAATGTTACTTTGCTCACACTCCAACAGCACGTCACACACTCTTGCTGGAAGTCCAAGCCCCTCACAAACAAAAACTTCCTTTACCCCATTCCCTCCAATCTTACCTAGGTTGACCCCTCTACAGATTTATACAGTCTGCAAGACATTCTGTTTTGTTCCATCCTCTCTAAATATCCTAACCACCTCAACAGCCCTCTCCTCAGCCCTCTGGATGATAATTTTAGTAACTCAGCACCTCTTCCTAATGTCCAAACTACAGATTCTCTACATTTTATTCACACTGCACATTGCCTTCAGACAACATAGTACCTATAATATAATCTTATGTAAAAGATAGTACAAGAGGCCCCTGCTTTATGGTGTGTTGCTAATGCAGCAGTTTTCAATTACAGTGGTACCCGGAGTTTCGGCCATAATTCGTTCCAGAAGGCTATTCGAATGCCGTTACTGAACAAATTTGTTCCCATAAAGAATAATGTAAATTAGATTAGTCTATTTCAGACCCTCAAAAATAGTTAAAAAAAAGCACTTACAATAATACACTTACAAACTGTTCGAGTTAGGAACTGTACGAAACTCAGGGTACCACTGTATATCCATCCTTCATCTACACCTGTTATCCCTGGTTACCTAGCAGTAAGTAGGTACCTGGGTGTTGGTCGACTGGTGTAGATCGCATCCTGGAGGACAAGATTAAGGATCCCAGTGGAAATAAGCTACAGTCCTCAATGACTTTCTTGGGTTATCCTGGATGGCTAACCCTTCGGGTTTAAAAATCCGAAGAAAATCTTATCTTGTCCCCCAGGATGCCATCCATACCAGTCCACTAACACCCAGGTACCTACTTACTGCTAGGTAACCAGGGACAACAGGCGTAAGCAAACTCCCAATGTTTCCACTCTTTCCGCTGACTGACCCCTAGACCTAAGTGTGTCAGCTGAGTGCTCTACCAATCCAACTACAGGACAATAATCACAAATTATTATACATTAGTAACATGTGTGTAAATTATCAAAGATAACCTAAAAAAAGTTTGACAAAGTGACTATGTTTCCACTGTGGTTCTTGTAATATCTTATTATTTAAACCTAACGTATGAACCACAGCTGGGCTGTGGTTCATACATCGGTATGAACCACAGCCCAGCTGTGGAGTATACCCTTTTCAGGTATACTCCAGGTAATTAACCAAAAGAGTTACTAAAGAATGTCAACTACTGTGTAATGGAACTTACATTTTGTTACAAAAAACGTGATTCTAAAAGCTTAGAGATCTCCAGTGAATACTAGAAAGGACTGCCCTTCTAGCATCCAGCCTGTTACTGGGTTTTCGTAACAAGTAGTCAGTATCCTTGTCCAATTATCCATTAAAATTCAGTATTATTCAATAGTGCTTCAGGATTACAACTGGTAGGCTACTAACTAGAGAAATTAAAATTTAATAAATTTATTAAGTCTAGAGGTATATTATCAAATTAAATTAAAATTAAATTAATCACAGTAATCAAAATAATATCACTTCTCTCGAGTACAATATTATTGTGCTGAAAGCACATATCACATTTATAATTCTTAAGTACCGTCTGGTACATTAACATTAAATAAGATATTACAAATATGTACAAGTGTGTATGTATGTGTGTAAGTGCTCTAAGTAGTTCGCTATGTCTCACGACTCGACTAGACTTAAACAAGTGACTGACAAAGTCCTCAAATAAACTAACTTCTTGACCGATTGGCAACCAGAACAGTCTGCTTGAACAATAAAAAGAATGCTAAGCCCAATAGCAATATAACAAGCAACTGCGACACAGAATCAGGAACAAGGAGATAATATAACGACATTAAGTAGGGACCATCTGCAGATCCTCCACAAAAGTCACAAAACTCCCATACTACTGAATCTAAGTTCAGCATAAGAAAATCCCCGACTGTGATAATACACAGAAACCAGTACAAGTTAGGTCAGAAGCTACAGCTCAGGACCTGAGTAGCTCAGTGTGTCTAAGCGACACACAACCTCAGTAAAATGTCGAAAATCACTAAGTCTATACAATGTTTTGTGAACAGAGTTCTACAGAACTAACAAAGCTACAGAGACGATCCTCCAACAAGGGCCAATAAGGGAGATTTAGGCTCTTGTCAGGGATACGTCCAACCACCAAGCGAGTCTAGATCAGACTGAATACTTCAGGCAAGGTGAGGACACCCCCCCCCTCTCAATCACGTGATAGCTCCGTGGACAGCTGTCGTTCAGCAACGAAGCAGGCAGAGTAACAAGCAAAGAGCGATAATTACAGTAGTTAAACAATCAAGACTTGAACTGAGCACATACCTAACGACATAACTAAGTCAAATAATAACATAAAGTCATATATTTACGATTTAGCTATTATCGCAAATATAAGCAATATAAGATTATATGAAAAGATAATAATTATATATATACATATTAATCATTGCAACCCATTCAGGGGTTGCAACACTCCCCCAACACGACAAACGGTCGCACTAGGAGTTGCATTAATGTCTCTCACATTGCTGATTACTCAGGTTATATTACTAACAATATAATATAAACATTAATCAGAGTCACTCTTGTGCCAAGCACTTCTATAATTTAACAGTGTCTGTCACTAGGATATGCCCCTAGTACTAGGGCAGTACACAGTATCGTATCTCTGCATACTCGTGGTTATGTACATCAGTGTAGAGACAGGATAGCGCAGACAAGCCTGACACGATGAGGCTCGATCATAGTAGAGGAGACTGCATTCCACTCTTAAGTAGTGGTTGTGGAATGCTATGCAGTATGGACATCTGAGTATGAAACAGCTTAAGGTGTGTAGTGAGGGGAGAGTCTGCGGCAGGACAGTGTTGCGTCACACGCAGTAACATCGCCCACACAACACTACCCACTCAACACTCAGCTTCTGCCTCCTCTTCACACACATCTCATCACTACTGTGAATATATAAATATAATAATTAGACATGAGTATATATAGTTAATATGGGCTGGAGGGATTAAGTTACTCTACTGAATTTGACATAGCAAGTAACAAAAGGTATTTGGGCATAAAATTACGTAAATTTTAAATGGGGAAGTGCCCAAATACACGTCAAAATGTTCCAAAGACACCACAAGAGCTAGAGCCTCTTTCTCAATAGTGGCATAATTTTTTTTGGTGTCGCATAAGCTTAGATGAATAGTAACATATAAAATGGAGAATATCAGTGGATGTTGACTGTTGGAGCAGCACAGCACCCACTGCATAACAACTCACATCTATATGTAAAAAGGGAAGATTGAAATTAGGACTCAACACTGGAGCAGAGGAAAGCAGATGCTTCAACCTTTTGAACGAGTCTGAACAATCTAGTCCAGATGAACTGAACTTGCTACTAATGAACACAATGAGAGGTGCAGGTGGAGGTGTGTATGCTGGCTTGCCTGTCACTTGACACACGTGGCAACATCGCACATGATCAGCTACTGTTTCCTTCATCTTTGGCCAAGTAAAATGTTTTGCCGGTTTACCGAGTGTCTTCTTGACACCCAAATGTCCTCCAATGGGACTATTGTGAACAAAATCAATGGCTTGTTCACAAAATGTAACTGGTAACACTACGAGATGCTTGACTGTGGTGGAAACACTATCAGCTGACAACTTGCATGTATTTTTCTCCATCAATACACCATTACTATAATAGTAACCATTATCGAAATCCTTTGCTTCACTCTCAGTAACTGCTATATCTCTCTCAGTCTTTCCAGTGACTGATCAACAAACTGATCCTTGATTAAATCATCATGAGTTAGAAATTTAATGTCAGTTGTGTCTTGACTAGGTTGATGACCGGGGGAAGTTGGTGTTAATGACCCTGGGCGCAGAGCGTCACTAAACAACATATTCAAGCCCAAATCATTGCCATCCACTAACTCAACAGGAGACAAGGATGGTTGCTGAATCTTCAACATAGCTCTAGTAATTGCATTGAGAGGAAATAAAATGGGTTTCTCTTTACAAGCTTCAATGGCATAATTATCATCAGTGTTATTATCAATCACAAGTGGTTCTTTACATATACCAGCATGAAGGATATCGTTTCCTATCAACAAGTCCACTGACCTGATGGGAAATACACCACTGGATATACCCACTGAAATATAACCAGTATAATAGCTTGTTTCAATGTATACTTTTATAACAACCCCACCATAGGCTTCTAACAATACATCTATCTTGGTATAGGTATCGTCAGTTATGGTCAGTACATCTTCTCTTAATAACGTGAGATAACTGCCAGTGTCTCTGAAAGTACGTAATTATTTCAGTCAGATGTGATTCGTCAAATCCTACTTTACCTCTCGAAAAGTAAGGACTCATCGCTGAACTAATCTTTTTGTCAGATTCACTTTCTGACGCTAGTCATCTGTTCTGAGTAATATTATCTAAAACAGTAGGAGCAGAGGTATTACTAAGATTTTGGTGCCTTTGTTGCTCGGAAGATGATACGACTTGAGTGGGGGCGCCAACCGCACGACTGCTTCTCGTATCTCTTTCTAACTTAGAGCAATACACTCTAGCATGTCCTTTTCTGTTACAATAGGTACATTTAACTTTCTTCTTCTCGATATCAGACTTCTGTCTAGCCAGAGAGACAGATTCAGGATTGTGAGCTTTCCTGGTAAAGGTACGAGAAGTTACAGTAGCAGATACAACAGGCCGACAATGAGCAACTGATTTAGGTTGCCAACTTCTAGGACAATCTTTAGTTACCTTGTTTCTTTGTGTATTAGTATGTACAAGTTTTTGAGAAATCTAGTAATTGTCTGCTAATGCTGCAGTTTCCAGAATATCCGAGGTAGTATTATCGATCATATATTCTTGCATATCAGCAGACATACAGTTGTTAAACTCTTCGCGTAGTAACAACTGAACAAGGCTGTCATAGTTGTTACACTTGGCAGACCTACACCATCTCTCAAATGCATCTTTTTTCTCATGAGCAAACTCTACACAAGTTTGATCTTGTCGTCATTGTAACGTACGAAATGCGCGTTGATAACTTACAGGTAACAAGTTATATGTCTCTAGAATAGTTA